AATGGAGTCCTCCCGTGTAGGCACAGTTCTTACCTACACATCCAGATCAGCTCATGCATTCCTGACAACAATCGTTTTTCAGTTCCTATGAGACGTTAGCTGCTTGTCAACCATAAATAGGGTTTGTCTTTTGTGTTTGCTGGCTTTTATTCATGCCATTCCTTCACCCAGGATTCCTTCACCCACCAGAGTCTTAGTCTGTCTGCAAAGGCAAATTAAATGTCACTTCCTCCACGCAGCCTCCTATGATCTCTCTGCCCCTTCCTTGAGCACCCAATACATAGTAGGTACTTGAGCAACCTGTGTTCAATGAGTGAATGAATCCTCTGTTGTTCTCACTGACACTAATTTGTTAGCCTCACAGAATGTTAGGGCATTAGTAGCCTTGGGGCACATGCAGTCCCAAGGAGGTGGCTAGATTCTGAGTCAGGGCAAGAGTGCTAATGGTTCTAGTCAGAGGTCAAACTGGATTAATTTGAACTATTTACATTTTCTTATTCCGTCTGTGCTAGGAAGCTGGGGGGACAGAGCTATGCTTCACAGGGCTACTAGGCTGTGACTCTTCTGCCTCACGTAGATGACAGCGGCCTTGCTGACCCTGGGTTTGTTCAAGGAACCAGCAGTCTGATGTTTGTAGATATTCCTCTCAATGGAAGCAGTAAAGCGCTGACATTGTTTTTTTAAGTTCTTCTTGAAGGGGCAGAGAGCCCAAGTACAACGTGACTATGGCAGGGATCAAAATCGGGGTTCTCAGACTGAGGAGTACCCTGCCTGGTGTGATGAGCACACGGGCCAGCTATACCTCCCTCCTGCTTCCCCTCCTCCAGCCTCGTCCTACCACCCCTGCCCTGGGGGCTCAGAGAAGCTGCTCTGGGATAAGCCCTAATTGCTCTAAGTTTCCATAACTGTGGATAATTCTATTGGGAACCTATAGCATTTATGTGGGTTTCTTCTCCAGAAATGGTGCCCTCTGTTATGGGCTGAATTGTGTCCCCACAAACTCACATCCTGAAGTCCTAACTCTCGGTATCTCAGAATGTGACTGTACTTGAAGACTGGGTCTTTCAAGAGGAGATTAAGTTAAATCATTATAATGAACGTGGGTCCTAATCCAATATGACTACTCTTCTTATAAGAAAAAGAGATCAAAAAAGAGACACACAGGGTGAAGACACTGGGAGGAGATGACCATCTACTACCAAGGAGGGGGACCTCAGAAGAAACCTGCTCTGCCAACCCTTTGGTCTTGGTCTTCTCGTCTCCAGAACTGAGACAATTTCTGTTGTTTAAGCCTCTCATCTGTGGCACTTTGTCATGGCAGGCTAAGCAGTCCTTTAAAAAAATTATTTATTTTTTATGTAGTGCTGAGGATTGAACCCGATGCCTCACACATGCTGGGCAAGTCCTCTACCAAGAGGGCTACAACCCCAGCCCTCCAATGTCCTTCTTATTAGGACTGCTGTGCAGAGCTCCGTGACAGCCATTTCCTCCTCCCGGCTTCCAGGATGCAGCGTAGGGCACGCTGGGTGCATTCTTCCCTGATAGAATGGATGCGAGTGTTCTGTTTCCGCTGTGACATAAAGACGGACTGTACGATTTTGTCATTAAACCTTTAATAATGGCCATGTGTTTTCTTTATGCAGTTTTTTATTTGCTCAATGCCTGTGTTCCACTGAAGATTACAGATGTGTGCTTCTCTAGCTCCACCCACTCAGCTCCCACATCCTCAGCGAAGTGTCCCTGGCCACCCTGTCTTTGCTGGCTTTTCTCATCACTCCAACATGTGCACTCGCACACACACTGCCACCTTTGAGGGCACAGGATGTTGACTTGCCTTGGCATGGCTCCCCCTTAGAAGCCAAAGGAACTGCAGGGTGATGATCACGGTTTGCATTCTAGAATGCTCAAACATTTCTCACGGTTACTCCATTCAGTCATCCAAGAAAGCTTGAGACTTAGGCAGAGCACAGCCACTACAGCATTTTCATGTATAGGAGGAACTGAGGCTCAGAGGGATTATGTGTTCAGGGTCCCCTAACTAGGATGTGGTGGCTCAGAGATGAGCCTTCTTTTAATTACCATTCCAATGCTCTCTCCACTGCACGACACTGACCTGTGCTGGACTCTGTGCTTAGGAACATTGTGTCAGGGACTGTTCTTAATTGAGTGGAATCAACTTATCCGGTGATAATGAAAATAGCAAACACTAATGTAGCACCAGGCCCTGTTCTAAGTAAGTGCTGGGCATGGATTAATGTCTCACACCCTTGTGAGGCAGGTCCTGTTACTCTCACTCACACTTTACAGATGTGAAGACTGAGGTACAGGAATTCAATAATATGCTCAAAGTCACATAACTGGCAAGAGGCAGGTTCCAAATTCAAACTCAGGTGATTCGGCTCCAGGCTCACCTCTCTTAGCTACTATGCCATAACTGGCTCATACCAAGAGGCCTTGTAAAAGTGATCAGTACTATATGGAGACCGGGAAGGTCATCACCTGCCATGTGACCTGAATGCTGTGTGTCTCCCACTCCAAATTTACATGTCAAGCCCCCACCCACCAATGTGACATAGTAGGAGGTGAGGCTTTGGGAAGTGATTAGCATTAGATAGATCCTCAGGGTCATGACAGTGGGGTCCTCATGATGGTATTAATGTCCCTATAGGACAGACACCAGAGTTTGATTCCTCTATCTGCCATATGAGGAGAGAGGAAGGCATTATCCATGAAGCAGGAACCAGTTCATCAAATCTGCTGGCATCTTGATGTTGGACTTCTCAGTCCTGGAAATATGATGGAAATGTTCTATTGTTTAAGCCACCCAGTCTATGGCATTCTGTTACAGCAGCTGAGCTAAGAAACCTGCTACCTCCTCTACCCAGTGAGTGCTGTGTCCAGAACCAAGCCGGGCCTCCTTGCTCTCATCCTCCTTCTGCAAGCACTGGCTATTCTTAGTGTCCCTCCATCTGCTGTGGCTGCGTGTTCCCCACACAGTGGGCACTGGGTCAGCACCAGCAGAAGCAGGCAGCCCAGTCTTCCTGCTTCCTCTCACTCCCTGAGCAATCTGGTCCTGAGGCTGGGAACAAAATCTTCTGATGCTGAGGAAAGGACCTGCTGACAAGGACCGTGATTCAGGCTGAGTTCCTTGAGCTTCAGAACAGCTCTGAGTATGTCTTAATGGTTCTGCCTACTCCTCCTTTGTGTGTGTCAGAAACTGCTCTTCTGCTAAAGAGGTTTTCTCCAGCTCCCAGAAACTGTAATTGTGTGTCTGGCATCACTCGGGAGGGGGCAGGCTCTTGGGAGGTGAGTGAGCCCCTGGGGTGCCAGGAGAGCTTCCGTGAAACATGCAGCCATGTATGGAAGTGACTGCAGAGAGGAGGACTATTTCTGGATTTTGCTTCTCACCAGCTCCATGACCCTCAATAGCAGTAATTACAGTAGCATGCCCAGGACACTCATTATGGGCTGGACTCTGTGCTATAAGCTTTAATAATTTTTTTCCATTAAACCCAGCGGTGCTCTATCATTGAACTACATCCCT